GGAAGACGACTGACGTTCCAATAATACGGGAAGAAAGAAAACCTTCCCGATCCTTCTAGAACAGAAAGAAGCAAGCATGAAGCACGAAGACACAGAAGGTAAAGTCACACCCGAGACTAAAAGTCATGCAGAACCCAGAGAAGAAGGGAACATGACGGTGAAGGCCCATCCCAAGAAGAAGGGTGGAGAAATGTACCCACCGACAGGACGGACCCGACGGATCCAAGGGAAAAGCAACCGATCCTGGGGAGGAGCCGACTCCCAAAAAAATGTACGGAGAGGGGGGAACCCACTACTTGTAATCGCAAGCGCTGCCCAGAGGGTAGAAAAACCCCGTTGGACCCCACCGGGGTCCAACGTCAGCCCCTCACCAGCCCCGGTAACCCACAAGGCAGGTCCCGGGACCGAGCCATTTCCCCAAAGCACCAGCCTCACAAGAAAAGCCAGGGCAGCCTGACAAGTACTAAGGAAAGGGAGCCCACTGGCTGATTCATACAACATGGGTGGAGGAACAGGCTCGAATGCCCCAGTCTCTAAGCAGGAAGGGGAATTCCCTGAGACGCCAAGTCTCAAGACCACTACAGGGAAAGAATAAGGGGGGCGCGGAAGGAAACAAAACTGAAGCAACCAACACCCCCAAGCCCCGTCACACCAACCAAAACGGGGCAGCCTCGGGGCTTCCGGGGAGCAAACTACCTAGCGCGTTGCCACCAGCGAAACGCAACATGCAATGCCCATGCTGCCTGTACCCACAGACAGGGTAACCGAGTCACAAACAAGCAACAGTACTCGAAGGACTCCGGGCCGAAGGTGCCACCGACCCCACAGGCAGTAGACAGAGGCAAAGACAGTGAGAGTCACCCTGAGACAAGGGGACAGAACAACCCTCGAACTCGCACAAAGTGAGGGGGGGTACTGCAGGGTCACATCCAATGAACCTACGCACCCCCTAGGGGATTCCCAGGGTCCTGATCATTAATGGAATTCATGCCCAGGTATTCCCAGGCAGGATACTGCTAACCGGCACCCAAGTCTACCAAACAACCCTTCTAAGAACTAAACCCCCGGGACATGTACACTCACAGGGACCTAACAGGGGGGAACCACCGGAAGAAGGAAGAACACTCAGTACACAAGGGGCAAGAACCAAGGCAGACCCTCCCCCCCCACCAGGCAGATAAACAAAAAGAAAAAGAAAACAGCATACCCAAGCAGAACAGAGCCGGCCGCTATAATTGGTGAAAACAAGCTGCGCAGTACCTTGCGCCCCAGCCAGCGCAAAACTGCCCCCTCACCCTAAGGCGAACAAGGGAGACAGAACACCCCAGCACACAAAGGGCGGCTGAAAACCAAGCAGTAAACGGCCTAACAGAGGCAGAACCCAAGGAACTTGGGGAAGGTAACCCCAAGCCCCAAGGGCAGTACAGGTACTTACAGGGCACCTAGGGAAGGAAACCCTAGGTGCATGCAGCCCGAGTACTGGGGAATCATTCCTGGCTTATGCACCACCTAGAAGACAGTCACCACACTCTAGGTACAATGCTGAAACACTGTACCCCTGTCCGGTGGATAAACAAAAAGAAATTCACACAGGGGTAGGGGTCTGGGGCTGCCCCTTCCCCCTCCCGGGGAGGGGGGAGCTGCACAGACAGCGGCGCAGCGACGTGTGATGTCATGCTCGTTTGCTTGTTTCTTTTAGGGGAGTTCTATCTACTTGTTCGGCTTTAGGTAGCAATTTTCACTAGAATAGGGGTTTGTTTTGGGAAGCTTACCTTTCTGGGTGCCTGACCCGATCGATGGCAGACATAGAATGCTTCCAACCACACGGGGGTTTCTATAGGCCAATGCTCCCCGTGCCTCTCTGAGGGGGCCAGGTTCTGGCTCGTGGTCCCCGGTAGGCTCACAAAACTCCATACACAACTGATGCCAAAGTCTGACATTAGCATATCGGCCTGGATAAGCTCCGGGGAGCCAAAGGGGCTCCCCCTAGAAAAAACAAAAACAAAAGAAAAACCCCGCAAGAGGACAACGTACCCAGGCGGAACAGAGCCGGCTACTGTTATTGGTGAAAACTAACTTGCTGTACCCCGTGCCCCTACCAGTGACGAAAACTACCTCCTACCCAGAGACAAACAAGGACAACAAAATCCCAGCTGACTCCAAGGGCAGCCAAGTACCGAGCAGTAAAGGACACAGCGACAAGTACATCCCAAGGAGACTTGTGGAATGTGGCCCCAAGCTCTAAGGGCAGTACTTACTGGGCACCTAGGGAAGAGAGCCCTAGGCACATGCAGCCCGAGTACCGTGGAATATGTCTCCTACCTCACACCCTACCGGTAGAGACAGCCCACACCACAAGGCACAGAACTGAAACAAAACCTGGAGCCAGAGCCACCTGATTGGCCAGTAATCACATCTGCCAAGAACTGAAAGTTGGGTCGCCGGAGGGTGGGTCTGGGGCTTCCCCTTCCTCGACCCGGGAAGGTGAGGGGGGGGTGGGTTGCTCAGACAGCGGCACGGCAACATGATGACGTCATGCTGGTTTGCTATTTTTCGTTTGGGGAGTTCTATCCACTTGTTCGGCCTTCGGTCGCAATAGTTTTACCAGAATAAGGGTTTGTTTTGGGGAGCCTACCTTTCTGGGTGCCTGTCTGGGTCGATGGCAGATATAGAATGCCCCCAACCACAGGAGGGGTTTCTATAGGCCATTGCTCCTCGTGCCTCTCTGAGGGGGCTAGGTTCTGGCTCATGGTCCCCGGTAGGCAAGAACTCCATGTACTTTGACTGATGCCAGAAAGTTATACATATCCATTCAGCCTGGATAGCTCCAGGGAACCAACGGGGCTCCCCCAGAAAGAATGGTAGACGGTTAGAACAAGCCAAGAGAGAAAGTTGTGGAGGCCAAAACCGCCATTAGTTTCAGAGCATTAAACAACAAAGAGTACTGGGAAGATGGGACACCACGAGCGTAGCTCTCATCCTATAACTACACTTGGGTTATTATCCGTATCAGAAAAGGCAACCTCAGGAGCCACCTGAGCCTCACCCCAAGCAAAACCCTGCCCCAACTCCGAAACCCTTAGACGCTTTGGAGCAGGAAACTGGGCGAGTACAAGAGTAAACTACATTCACCTGGGTTGTGAATGACGAAAGGGGGGGGCACAGACGAAACCACAGTCAAAGTGACCAACACAAAAAGCAGAGTCCCTAAAAACCAAGCGGGCCAGCTCCAATTCCAAATGGGCACACACAATCTGGCACATTGCAACACAGAAAAAGTCTATGCAACATGGCTGCTGCCTGATACCTTAGAATATTAGATGGGTAAGTTGGAGTACGTGAGGGGAACAAGTCCCACAAGACTCTGGGTCGTAAGTGTCACTGACCTAACAAGCAGCATTATGGAGTCAGAATGGATGACTTTCACCCCTTAGTCAGAGGCGACGATCAACCCTCAAATTCGCACAAGGTGAGAGCAGACTCGGAAGTGGTATCCACTTCCAATACCACTTGGAAGTGGTATACAGTACAACTGAGGCCGCAGGGGTTTTCCAGGGCCTGTAGGGTGAATGAGCCCTAAAGAAAGCTCAGGCACTGGGGCCAGCAATGCCAGTAACCCCTGCTGGTGCAGGCAACCAGACCACAAGCAACAGTCAGAAAGCCCCTGGGGCAGCAGAGGATTTCCACTGCAGACACCATAAGCTAGCCTAATAAGGTCAAATGCAGAACTTCCCCACCTAAAGAAGGGAACAAAAATGCTAAAAAATATAAGAGAAAATAAAAAACCTCAGGGACCCCTCCAACAGCAAACAAGCAGTCTAGGAGAAACTTTAGTGCATCCTAGCTATCTAAAGAGCCAGCAGCACCAGCCGCAATGCACCCCACCAACTGACAACACTCCCCCTACCCAGAGCAAGATGGAAAGGTAACAGCCAAAGTGAGAAAGTGATGGAGACCAAAACCATTACAAGTTTCAAAGTGTTATACTGTACAACAATGAGTACTGGCATGATGGGACACCACTAGCGTAGCTCTCAGCCTGTAACTACACTTAGGTAATTACACCCCAAGGGCGAAGACCACCACAAGTGAGAAAGTCCTCCAATGGAGAGTGATTCCCAAACAGCCCAAGGAAGATAACCCTGGCCACGTACGGGAAGTATCTATGGAGCACCTAGGGAAGGAAACCCTAGGTGCATGCACTTCCAGTACTTTAAACTCCTGGCCAGCAAGGCAAAACACCAATAAAAACAGAAAACTGTAGCCAGAGCAAGCTGATGACCACCAGGCACGACATCAGTCAAGAACTGACTGTTGGCAGCCCACCTCACCCAGCCCACTCCTTCCTCCCAACAGAGGGGGAGGTGGAGTTAATGAGCGGGGGCTAGTCAGATGAGGTTTTGCTTGTTTGTTTTCTTTGTGGGGGAGTTCTTTTGATACTTAAGAGAGCGTAGGTCACCTTTTTCAACCCGGCAGTAGTCTGTTTTGATTCGCCTACCTTTCAGGGTGCCTTCCCTGGTAGATGGCAAGATGACAAACTCAGGTTCTGGCTCGTGAATTCTGGTAGGCATACAAGAACTCTGCCACTGATGACTCTAAGAAGTATGGCACTTAATCACAGTATAGCCGATGAGGGGAGGTATCACTTTATCTCATCTCTCGGTCTCATGTCTCATGACGGAGTCTCATCAGGGAGACGATGAGACTCCCCACAGAAAACAGCACTTAAAGAAATTCCTTGCTAAAGCCATGCTAAAAACAGTTGTATAGTCCTGTTCTCCATAATGAAAAACAGAATACAGTAACCAGTTCACCTCTTACAGCAGGGAACCCCACACTATGAATCTGGCACTGACTTTTTTAAAGGACTACATATTGCAGGATGAAATGGCAAGCTTTTACTACTTTTGGTGCTTGATGTAATATTTTTCTTTACTAGCTGTAATAAGATGCACACTTTCATAGACCAGGTCTTATTCAACATAATCAATAAAGCTTACCCTAATGTTAGATTCAATGATAGATGGATCATCACAAATTGATTCCACGTAGAATAGTTTATAGTCCATCTCAATCACAACCTTATCATATATGAGTCGACGACGAATCATTGTTGTATTTGTGGCATCGAAAACCTGCAAATTAACAAAATTGTTATATTAAAAATACAGTATCACTAGTTGAACTGGTGAATGAACACAATGTCAATATTTTTGCTATGGGCAAACATCAGAGCATTCACCTTTCCATTTCAAAATCCCTAACACATGTGTCTTCCTAACGAGTACTTTTCCCACGCCCCCATAAAGCAATACAGGCACAAGCAAGCTGGCAAAGTGCTGAATGAGAATGTTTGTAGTTATATATTTATGCAGCTGTTTATTACCATATTTGTTATATTTTGTACATAAAAATCCAGAATAGAATGTAATGAAATGCATCTTTCTGGTTTGTCCATTCGGTGGCTCTCTGAACTAGCCATCTGATTAGCTACAAGCCTATCATACCCAACACCAGGCCTTTGTGTATCATCCATGTCAACCAGAGACCAGAGGCTGAATCTGGTCCACTCATTAGCGGCAAATGAAGTCTGGGAATATTAGATCAACCCAAGCCAAGAGGAAAAAGCACCAGAAAAAGTTCAGTGCCCTAAAATAAGCAACTGCAATGAGACACATCGACAACCACAACAACTATGTACACACCCATTAGCCAGTTCCAACTACTACTGTAGTTATATTCCTCTCATCACCAGATGGCAGCACCTAGCAACCCAAGGCTTCAGCCAGCTGATCACCTTAGTCATTTGCCATGCAAAGACGATTCAACCCTGAAGGAAAGGGTGGGGGATATGGAGCCACAGATGGGATCCACCAAAGAACCAGCGTTGAATGTAATGAAACGCCATTTTCTGGGTGAGACCTGGAGGCTCCCTGGAACTATCCAGGCTGATATGTATATCACTAGACTTTGGCATCAGTCAGTGTATATGGAGTTCTAAGCCTTCCGGGGACCACGAGCCAGAACCTGGGCCCCTCAGAGAGGCATGAGGAGCAATGGTGTATAGAAATGCACATGCAATTTGGAGCATTCTATGTCTGCCATTGACTGGGACAGACACCTAGAAAGGTAAGTGCCTCAAAATAAATCCCTATTCTGGTTAAAAATTATGAAAATACACAAACGAGTAAACAGAGCTCCCCAAATGAAAACGAGCAAACAAGCATGACGTCACACGAGCCGTGTCACCTGTCTCCGCAGCCCCCCATTTCCTGGGAGGGGGAAGGGGGAGCCCCAGACCCATTGCGTCGGCAATCCGACCACCAGTTCTTAGGCTATATGTCAAAACACGCGAAATAACGCCGACCAGGGGGAGGGGGTGGTTGCCGGGAAGCCTCCGGGTCTCACCCAGAAAATGGCATTTCATTACATTCAACACTAGTTTTCTGGGGGGCGCCCCCTCAGCTCCCTGGAGCTACATCACCAAAGACAAAAACTAGAGGGGACTTACCCAGGAGGCAGTTGTTGCTCGCACCTCAACACGAAGTCGAGACAACTGGCTGCAACCGCCGAACCCAAAGCGACACAGGCCCGACTAGGCCCAGGAACATTAGCGAGGTTGTGCGCAGTCAAGACCCTGTTCAACTGACAAAAACCCCGTGCCCGAATGTCAGCCTAAGACATTTTACCTAAAACGGCAGCAAGCATAGCAAACTTACGAAAGTCATGAGCACGAGTGTAGACCGCAGGCTCGCTGGACCAAATAACCCTGCGGACAACCTAAGAGACCCGAACCCGGGAAAAGGGAAGAAGGGAAACCGGATCAACCCAAAGCGCGTCCCTAGCCACCGAGGCCATGGCGCGCAAATAACGGCGGAGCACTGCAACCGGACACAACACATGATGCACCTCCAGCCTGACCAACCAAACATCAACAATCCAGGGACCCCTCCAGAAAGCTGCAGTCTCATTCTTCGTCAGAAAAGAAGGAAACAGCTGCAAACGAATAAACCTTTCACCACGACCAAAAGAGCAGAAACCCCTGCACCGGAGGAAAGCATGAAGCTCCCCGACCCGACCCCCAGAAGCCAATGCCAATAAGAAAAAAAAGAGCCTTAGAAAAGCAATCCAGAACCAAAAGGGGCCACAACAAAACAAGGAGAAGCCACCTGATCACCATACAGATGCACCAGCAAGGTGCATCCTTGCTTGTGCAGTGTCCTGCAGTGCACCAGGAGCCTAGTTTGAAGCCAAAGGAAGTTTGTTTTATTTTGCTGACTTTCTGGGTGCCTTCCTCAGAGGTGGCAGATAGGAATTAATAAAAAAAAAAATTCATACGTGCCACTATTCCCTGCACTTCTGTGAGGGGGGCCAGGTTCTGGATCATGGTTTCTGGTAGGCCAATAGAACTCCGCAAATGATGGGACCTGGTATAGTAGTATGGCACACTATCAGACAAAGTAGCTTCAGGGAGCCACAAGGAGGCTACCCCTAGAAATTATATGCAGTAGTTGATAATACTGAGATAAACCAGTTATCTGTGATAAATTCTTCTTTCACCATATGGCTACCAATATTTAAATATGGAAATTCATATAACCATTAAAAAACCAAGCATTCAATGTAAATTAACACCTCATTCTGGAGAAGCTCAAGTCACTCCCAAAAGCTTCACTGCTGAGCTCTGTGCCAATGGGTCACAACGGTCATGGAAGTTGCTTGGGCCTTCAAGGACTTGAGCCAGAGCCTGGCTTTCTGCTCACAGGGAGCGGTGAGAATCACCCATTCCGCAGGATGGAGCTTCCACAATGTCTGCAAAAGATTTACATACAACTAGAGGATTCATAGTAAAGGAACCCTTGAAACTGCCAAACAACTCCGCAAATGATTCCCACAGAACAAGGAAGTCACTGAAACTAGCTCAAAGCTTATCAGTACCAATTACCACCACCAGACAGCCTGACCCCAGCCCTCAGTCAACTCTTCACCTCAGTTCTGGAGCTGATGAACAACCCACGATGAATCGACAAACCTGGAGTGAGGGGATATAATCCGGGAGCCACAGGGGAAAGAAGGATTCCCTCCAGACCCCAGTGTTGAATGTAATGAAATGCCTCTTTCTGGAGGCACCCCAGTGGCTCCCTGATTTCCCTTCCCCTCCCCCCTTCTTCCAGGTTTGTCGGACCATCGTGGGTTGTTCATCAGCTTCAAAACTGATGAGAGGAGTTGAATGAGGCAAGGACCTGGTGGCAGTAATTAGTACTAATGAGTTTGGAGCTAGTTTGAGTGAATCTCTAGTTTTGTGTGAATTGTTTGTAGAGTTATTTAGGTTTTAAGGCTTCATTTTCTGTGAACTCTCTAGATACATGTAAAGCTTTGCTAACTTTCTAGAGGCTTCTTTCTGTGGGATGGCAAATTTTCACCCACTCTCTGCACTTCTATAAGGGAGCCATGTTCTCGCTCTGGTCTCCAGTAGGCCAAGCACATCTTTCATAACTGATGTGACCCTTAGTAAGGGTAACCTCAAAAAGACAGCTTCAGGGAGCCACTGTGTACTACCTCCAAAAATTTAAAGACAATGAATGCTATCCCATGCCTGTTTAATATTTGAATTAAATTTATTTATAAATTTAAATTAATATAACAAAATTTTATTCCCCCACAAAAAAACTGTACTTACTGCTACTTCTCCTCCTTCATTTTCTAGCCATTTACAAACATCGTCCAAAGCGTCCAATGCACAGCGTTGCCGTAGTGCCATTGCTTCTTCATTGTCACTCCGGAAGAAGTTATGATTTTTGTATTGTTGGGTGACACGCCGCCTGTACTCACCCAAGTTAAAAACTGAAATCAGAAAGATAGAAGTCCATTAAATTATTCTAAGCACAAATTATTCTTGTTTACCTATCATGCTAAAAGTCCAGCGTTGAATGTAATCAAACACCAATTTCTGGGCGAGCCCCATTGGCTCCCTGAAGCTACTATCTCTGATACATTGCTATACTATTAGGTGTCATCAGGTACGGAATTCTATTGGCCTACTGGGAATCACAAGCCATAACCTGCCCTCCCCCCACCCCCCTCTAAAGAGGTACAGGAAGCAGTGGCACTGATGGTAAAAATTGTATTAATTTATTCATGTCTGCTACCAACAGGGAAGCATCCAGGAAGTCAGAGAAAGAAAACAGACTACTACTGCTATAAGTTAGACTGCAGCCTCTAGAACCACCAAAAGAACTCCCCCAACCATGTAAACAATCGAGAAGTTCATGAAATTAGGGCTAGCTCATTCAAATTTGGGACCAGCGTGCTCCACCCTCAGAATGACAACACCCTCCAGTGTCCTAAGGGAAGGAGGGGAAACGGAGCCAACAGGACTCGTCCAGAAATTGTTGTTTCACTACATTCAACACTTGTTTTCCATTTCACTGAAGGTATCTGGAAGGAACAAATGGAGGGACCCAGCGTTGAGTAATGAAACGCCATTTTCTGGGTGAGACCCGGAGGCTTTTACCGGCTGATATGCTAATGTCAGACTTTGGCATCAGTCATGTGTATGGAGTTCTAGGGCGTACCGGGGACCACGGCCAGAACCTGGCCCCCTCAGAGAGGCAAGGGGAGCAATGGCCTATAGAAACCCCCGTGTGGTTGGAAGCATTCTATGTCTGCCATCGACCGGGTCAAGCATCCAGAAAGGTAAGCATTCCAAAACAAACCCCTATTCTGGTGAAAATTGCTACCTAAAGCCAAACTAGTGGATAGAACTCTTCAACAGAAAACAAGGAAACTAGTATGACGTCATACGTCACCGCGCCGCTGTCTGCGCAGCTCCCCCCTCCCCGGGAGGGGGAAGGGGGAGCCCCAGACCTCCCACGCCGGCTATCCACCCATCAGTTCTGAGGATGGATGTCAAAACACACGAAAAACCGCCGACCGGAGGGAGGGAGGGTTGCCGGGAAGCCTCCGGGTCTCACCCAGAAAATGGCGTTTCATTACATTCAACGCTGGTTTTCTGGGGGGAGCCCCGTCGGCTCCCCGGAGCTAACTACCCACAGAGGAAGGTCAAAGGGACAGAACCAGGAGGCGGACACCACGCACCCCCCAAGGAGGCGAGACAACCGGTAGCAAACGCCAACCCAAGGCGCCACAGCCTCGAAAAGTCCCGGGAACAACACGAGAACGAGCAGCAAGGCCCCTGCACGAACACCAAAAATCCATGCCCGAAAGACCGCAAGGCCACATCGCCCAGACGGCAGCGAGAGCAGCGAAACCACGAACGCCATAGGCATGAGGGAAGGACACAGGCATGAGGGAAGAACACAGGCAGCTTAGCCGCAAGAACACGGCTGACCACCCGGGACACTATCACCCGCGACCCAGGAAGAACAGAACTGGATCAACGCAAAACGCGCTCCGAACCCAAACACCGTGGCACGCAAACAACAGCGGAAGGCCGCCACTGAACACAAAAAACGACACACCCCCGGCCCGACCAACAAAGCACCAACAAACCCTGGACCCCTCCAGAACGCAGCAGCCCCACCCTGCGCCAGAAAAGATGGAGACTGCTGCCACCGAACAACCAAAACGCTAAAACCGAAGGAGCAAGAAAACTCAGCGACTCGACCCCAAGAGGCAAAGGCCAAAAAGGAAAGAGCCGACGAAAAAACACACCGGAACCGAAGGGGCACTACCAACCGAGGAGAAGACAGAGCACGCTGACCAGAGACCAGGATGGTGCAAGCGGCACACGAACAGGCCGGAGGTGAAACGACGCACAAGACAGCTGACTAACGGTGCAGAAGCAACACCAAGACCGAAACCAAGCTGAAGCGGCTCCGCCCGCGCCGCACGAAAAGAGGCGACAGTATGTGGCAAGACGACGGCCCCCAACCCCCACCAGAAAACCAAGCCGAGAGTAAACCAAGCTAACAAGAGTAACCACCGAAGAAGGGACAAGAAAAGGAAGGACCGCCAAAATACTCCATACTGCCGCCAAGAGAAGCACGCAGGTGGGACACCTACCACGAAGCCACCCGACCACCAACCGGAGGCGAGACCGCAAGGCAGAACATAAGCAGCCCCGACAAGGCCCCTTCGAGCCCAGGAAAAGGCGGAGCCGCGGGAAGATCTCGGGCGCGACCACCGAAACCCAGGCGGCACAAGGAGATGGAACGTCTGCCGAACAGAAAAACTCCCCAAAGCATGCAAGCCCGCCAGGAGTTCAGAAACGACGGGTCCGACGCGAGACATCGCAAGACCCCCAAAAAAAACAACCGGCAGGGCAAGCTAGGAAACCAAAGAAGGCGGAAGGGTCGCCGCCAGAACAGTACCCGAACCAAGGGGTACGAACAACTGCAATAGACCGAGACAAGGAAGCACATCACAGGACACAGGCTGACAAACGCCTAAGAACACACGCAGAACACCCCTGCTGCAGAAGAGGCAGGAAGAAAGAGCAGAAGCACAAAAACCCCAGGATAACAACCAGGGGTGGACAATCAGGCAGGGACAGAAAAACCCCCACGCAATCCCCAGGCACAAAACGGCAGCAAAGTGCCACTCCACAACCGGACACAGGAACAAGGACACGCCACCGTGAAACACAGTACCAATGCACACGTGCAGCAGCAGCAACAGGCACCACTGCAACATGCAACATGTAAATAGCAACTCCCTTCTGCAAAGGCAGAGAACGGAGCAGGCAGACCCCAGAAGGGGCAGCAGGCCAAGCGGAGGGCGCACACGCACAAACTCCGCAAGCCCAGAAACCTGCACCAGAGGAAGCAGGAACAATAAAACCGCAAAGAGCCCAAAAAGGAGCCCAACTGGGCGACAAGTAGCCTAACCGGGCGGCGGAGACAAGCAGCCCAACTCGATACCAAGGAGCCTGGATGACGTTCCAATACGGGGTAGCACTTTTACACCTCAAACACAGCCCAACACTAGTCCCGAAGGCACACGAAGGCGCAAGCGCACCCGAGATCAGAAGTCACGCAGAACCCCATCGAACGGGGAAACATGACGAAAACACTGTCCTAAAAAGGGGTGGGAGGAAACATCCACCCACAGGACGGAACCAACCGACTCAAAGGCCAAGGAACCGAGCCCGGGGAGGGGCCGACGCCCAACAGCACGTACGGCGAGTGGGGAGGAAAGACCCCACTCCGCGTAACCACAAGCCCCGCCTAGAGAGGGATAAAAAGCCCCACGGGGTCCAACGGGGCCAAGGCCCCCCAAGTCAGCCCCTCCCCAGCCCCGGGAACCTACACGATAGGCCCCGGGGCCGAGCCGTTCCCCCAAAGCCCCGGCCATACCAGAAAACCGGAGCAGCCGTGAAAACACTAAGGAAGGGAGCCCACTGGCAGACTCATACAACACAGGCTCAAATGCAGGAGGAACAGGCTCAAATGCCCCCGTCACTACCCCGGAAGGGGAATTCCCCGAGACTGCCCGAGTCTCAACACCATCAAAAACCCCGCCCCGAACCCACAGACGGTAAGGAACCGGATGCAGGCAGGAAGGGTGATCCAGGGGAAAGACAAGGGGGCGTGGATGGAACCGAAGCAACCAACACCCCCAAGTCCCAAAACGAACTACAACGGGGCAGCCCCGGGGCTCCCGGGAAGGAAACCACGAGAATGTTGCCACCACCAAGGCTCAAGTGCAACGCCCCTGCTGCCCGCACCCGCTTTGTTAGCACAACTGGGTAACCAAGCCACAACGAGCAACCAAACTCGCAGGACTCCGGGTCGAAGGTGTCACCGACCCCACAGGCAGCAGACGGAGGCAAAACAGAGAGTCACCCAGAGACACAGGGTGAGAGCAACCCTCAAACTCGCTGGAAGCGAGGGGGGGACTCTGGGGTCACATCCATCGGACCCGCGCGCCCCCAGGGGTTTCCCAGGGTCCCGAGCGTTTACTATAAGAGGACTCGCGCTCAGGTAATCCCAGGCAGGGTACTGCTAACCGGCACCCAAAGCTACCAAACAACTTTCTAAGAGCTGAACCCCCGGGACGTGTACACTCACGGGGACCTAGCAGGGGGTACCACCAGAAAATACTCAGAACACAAGGGACACAAGGGGCAAGAACGAAGGCAGACCCCCCCCCCCCACCAGGTAGATAAACAAAAAGAAAAAGAAAACCCCGCAAGAGGACAGCGTACCCAAGCGGAACAGAGCCGGCCGCTATGATTGGTAAAGACAAGCTGCACAGTACCCTGCGCCCCACCAGTGCAAAAACTGCCCCTTACTCTAAGGCGAACAAGGGAGACAGAGCACCCGAGCACACAAAGAGCGGCCGAAAACCAAGCAGTAAACGGCCAAGCAGGGGCAGGACCCAAGGAACTTGTGGAAGGTGGTCCCAAGCCCCAAGGGCAGTACTTACAGGGCACCAAGGGAAGGGAACCCTAGGCGCATGCAGCCCGAGTACTGGAGAATCACTCCCGGCTCACGCACCACCTAAAAAACAGACACCACACTCTAGGTACAGTGCTGAAACAACCACTGGAGCCGGAGCACATAACCGTTGCCTATAGCATCAGCCGAAGAACTGATGGGTGGATAGCCGGCGTGGGGGGTCGGGGGCTCCCCCTTCCCCCTCCCGGGGAGGGGGGGAGCTGCGCAGACAGCGGCGCGGTGACGTATGACGTCATACTAGTTTCCTTGTTTTCTGTTGAAGAGTTCTATCCACTAGTTTGGCTTTAGGTAGCAATTTTCACCAGAATAGGGGTTTGTTTTGGAATGCTTACCTTTCTGGATGCTTGACCCGGTCGATGGCAGACATAGAATGCTTCCAACCACACGGGGGTTTCTATAGGCCATTGCTCCCCTTGCCTCTCT